TTTAAAATATACATTTAAACACAGCTCTGGCTAGCTTGAATGACGGTTTATTTTTAAGATTTAATGAATATTTGCAAATAGCTCTATCTCAAGTTGAAATAATTTTGCCAGTTTTTTTTAAGCGTAAGACAATTCCTTCAAACATGACATAGAAACATGGAAAACAAGAAAGAATGGGCATTCACATTCAATATTTAACTGAAAGGCATCATTTGTGGTTACGTGGACATACTTGAGTCTACTCTGGAATGCACTGTGTGTGACATGAGACGCATGTCTCCAGTGTGACACTTAGTTTTTACGTGAGTGAGGGCAGAGGCGAGTTCTAAAGGGCATCTCATAACAAGAGGGCTGTTTTTCTCAAATAAAAGTGATAATTATCATCACATTCTGAGAAAGGGAATAATGTAATACTAAAGCATTTGACACCGGACTTCTCTGCAATGTTAGACACGATGATGTCAAAACCAACAACATGCAATAGTAGTGAAGCGTGAGAATAAAATCGAGCAAAGTCTCACTTGAAGAGACATAAAGAGACCTAGAAGTCACCCCGGCTTCAACCAATTATTCAAGAAGAGGGATGATGGCGGAAAAGGTAAATGAGATAAACAGCAAGAGATGGTTATTCTTCACCTAAACACTGTCACTGTTTTTATTGTTGTACGTCCCTATATAGTTGGATAGGTAGAAAGATGATAGCGAATATGTATTTTTAGTATTATAGAAATTACAATAGAGATTACGCAATAATATTTTTAAAGACATAATTTGGCATTTAGCTGCCTCATACCAATGGACCTTACTTAAATCCCAGCTGTCGACAAACCACGTATGTATTCAGCTCGGTCCAGCCGTCATCACAGACAGTGCCCCACTGTCCCCTGTAATACACCTCCAAGCGGCCCTCATGGCTGCCTTTCCCACCTGCAAGTCTGATGGCCCCATCTGTGATGAGAAGGAGACACAGAGACTAAGCAAACCCACTCTCAAAAAAAGGCAAAATAATACTGTCATTTCACAAGAACAATCACCAGATGCAGGCCTCCCTCTAGGCCTTTTGTTAAACTTATATTACATCGGTGCTTAGTGACCTGGGATTACTGTATCGATTCTGAAGTTTGACATTGTTCCTTTTTATCTGAATTCCTATTCTCTGAGTAGAAAAATATGTTCTGATATAATTCCAAAGTATCTATTTAAATTTTTCTAGACCAAATAATATTTGCAAAATTTCCTATAACATCAATCTCTTAAATCTAAGCAGCACTGGTCATTTAAATTTAAAAAGTAAGAAAACATTAACTTGGAAATAGTTCAAAATATTAACTGCAAATAAAAAATATTAAAATAAGGAGAAAGAAACTATTCTGAATAAAGGACAATGTGTCATGTCAATGCATTTATTATTCCTCAGGCATTCATGAATTATAAAAACTGGAACGCACATCTTGCCTTTGTCCTTTTATTGATGATACAGATCTGAATTTGAATCTTATTAACTGAATAATTAAAAGAGCTTCTAAGCAGATACATAGTACAATAAATTTAAATTCCCAAAATGTAGATTTAAAAGCCATTTTCCATCCAAAATAATCCAAATACCCCTCCTATAAAACATATAAATAATCTTTGGTAAAAGTCATACTTCTCATCAATCTCTGGGATCATTTAAAGCAAATAAAGGTCTCTTAGCAACAGAACCATTTATGAACATAACACTCTACTGTCTGCAAAGCATGTGATGAGTATTATCGGACCATCACAGCAATGCTACAAGACCACCTTCATTTGAAAGAGGGGGGAGTTGTGGCTCAAGAAGATGAAGTGCTCTGGTTTAAAATCTGGCATAAATTATCTATTTTGATTCAATATCAATGTGCTAATCTGCTAATAAAAACAAAAGCATGTAAAGAATTGTCAATAAAAATATAAATTTAGTATTTTGTAAGGTCTAAGTTTTTTTTATTTTTATTAAAGATTTAAACAAAAAAATTTTTATTCAAGTTCTTTTTACCATAAAACAATGGATTTGTGATAACTCAACTTCTCGACTATTTCCTTCCTCTCGCCCCCAACATGTAATTACAAACACACACACACACCAATCTGCACTCATACACACCCTTCTAACACCTGACACATTCTGACAGTCATACTGCAATCTGGAACAGCCTAAAAACTGAGCATAGCAAAGTTCACTTGGTTTCTTTAATAATGTGCTTTAATCAGCAATCGCATCACTGTGGTTTTACCAGCTATAAACACATTAAGCACATTCTGAGAGTCAAGACAAGTTAACAGACGAATGGACTAAAGATGTAATTTTTACACCTAATAACTGAAATTTATCGTTGCACACTGATTTTGATTATTGAGTACTATATTGCAACAAAGTCATGTTTCCTGATCAAGTTTTACAGGACTAGTCTTACACTGAACAATTCAGAAATATCTGCGAATAAGGAGATAGTATTTTGATATGCAATTTGTGTTCATTTCTTTTTAGTTTTATTTGGAGGATTTATTTGTATGCTCATTTGGTAGTATTGTCTAAACTGAGCATACAGGACGCTGCGGCAAGCCCTAACGGTGCTGGGGGCAGGAGTCGGTGTATTAATGGGGTGAAATCCTTACCCGTTAGAGGGGTACAGGACACGCCAGCATCTTCTTTGTGACCACAATTATGCTCTCCCCAGGAGCTCTTTGGACACTGCTCAATGGAAAGTTCGTTCCCGGTGCAGCGTACTTCATCCAGCACGACAGGGCCAGAACCTTCTCCAAAATACGCCTGACTCCACGCTTTGGCGATGCCACTGCAGGAACACAGGATTCCGGATTAGACATCAAAAGTTGGTCTGACGTATTTCTTTGGCCCCTGGTAAAAGCACGGTTATTCATTCCTACTTATCAATTCACTTCAAAGGTCTCGCACGACTTTCTGTTTGTTTCTTCTCTGTTTGTTTGTTGCTCTTCGTATTTTCAGCCATTACACACGTTTTGGAGATGGCTAGGGATTTCCCAATAGTTACCCTCCTTTTCTCCGTTAATGATGGAACCTCAGATTTTTAGGAGGACAATGGCTATCTGGAATAAAGACGATTTCTCCCAGCCTCCCCTTCTTCTAGATGACTAAGTTTGTTTGTCTGTTTGTGGTAAAATACACATAACATAAAATTTACCGTTTTAACAATTTTTAAGTTTGTAGTACATTAGGTATATTCACGTTGTTGTACAACTATTATCACTGTCCATCTCCAGAATTGTTCATCATCCCCAAATCAAGCTTTGCACCCATTTTAGATGACTAAGTTTTGGCCAATAATATTTAGGTAGAAGTGTCATATGTCACTCTAGGAAGTGTCCTTTCCTTGTTCTAATTCCTCCTCCTTGCTGACTGCAGGGCAGAGGAGATGGCTGGAGCTTGAGGAGCTTTGTTAGGCCAGAAGGTGCCACCCTAAGGATCAGAGAAGAGCAAGCAAGAAACAGCCCGGGCCCTGATGATTGGGGAACCACCAAACTAGCCTCAAGCCGGTGGCTACCTCTGGTCTCTCCAGAGAGAAATAAATTCTTGTCTAAACTTGTTTAAATCATTGTGATTTTCAGTTCTCTGTTACAGCCACATCTATTTCTAACAAAAACATCTCTTCGCTCAAGTTTATCCGTAGTTAATTTACTACTTCTGCTATTCGAAGAGATATCACTAGAATCTCAGATTTCAGTGAAGATCATGACCGCCTGTCAAAATGATGAATGACTTCAAAAATTGCATTTTCAGCCCTTGCTAGCCTTTTAGTTTTTAGACTACAACATCTATATTTTTAGTTTGTTTTTCAATAATACTATATTTATTCCCCATTATTTTTGTTGCCCTTTTCTCATAACAACTATCTTGAGAATTTATGACAAAAAATATATTGAAGAAAAAAAAGTTTGCTAAATGGTTATAATACCCCAGTAATGGTAAAGTCTTGGATAATCAACT